TGCTGCTATCAAATTTCACCCTTTATAGGCAGAAAATACATTATTAATGCATTTGGAGAAAGCATGTCAAGAGATATTAACAGTTATGAAGAAGAAATATAAAGTTGGATAATTTACTTTATTCTATTACATCTTTATCCAGAATATGGAAATTCTTTATGCTTGCCTGTCAAATACTGTCAAACTCGAAATGTGACTTGACTTGACTGCACGATGGGACTGAATATTAAATATAATTTATGATGGATATGAACTCTCTTTTCCTGCTCCCTTTTTATGCTTTACTTTTGTGTATGTTCTCTTTTAGACTATTAGGCAATTTTCTTTAAGGAAAGGCTTTTGATAAGACAGTGAGAATGCATTAAGAAACTATGCAGAACTAAGCTGGCTTGTTCTCATTCAGGTGTTTCGTCACCATGATAGGTGATGTCATCAGTGGAGCCTCTGATGAAGCGGTGTTATTCTACTCCGCTTGGAATTTAAACTGTCTGTATATATACTGTATACAAACCCATACAGTTCAAAACCGGAAATGACACTGCTCACCATGACAGACCAGACAGTTTAAATTCCAAGCAGAGTAGAAGAACATCGCTTCATCGGAGGCTCCACTGATGATGTCACCTAGCATGTTGATGAAACATCTGAACAAGAACAAGGCAACTCGGTGAGCAAGTCAACAACTTCTTCCATTTGCCATTTATTTTACCATTATGATGCTGATCGATGGATTCTCAGAGAGAAAACCGGTACAAAAAAAACTTACCCAGGTAAAAACAGAAAAGATGTTCTTAATGACTAGTATGCCCAGAATCCGGGGGTAACCAGTTAGGATATGGGCTAGACCATTTCGGACTTTGTTGAGGAAAGAGTTCTGAGACTGTGGGTTGAATATCCTAATTGTGACAGACCTTCATTTTTGAAGTATACAAGATGAGTTAGACCAGAATGGTGGTGTTTGCCTGTTTTACTGTTTTTCTTTCCCTCTTGCCTTAACCTAGAATTGTATTTTAACCTGTAATCAAGACAGGTCAGATAATATTGTGATTCACTGCATAAAAATACTTTGATCTTAAGTGATCTGGAGCATACATTTGGAATCTGGAACATCCATTGGATTATTCCTTTCGGTATGTAACTATGTTTTTAAAAAAATCCAAAAGTATTATCTTGTCTTTATCAAAGACAACCTAACTTACGGATGCGAAACTTGTTCAACTTTGCAGCCTTTAGGTCCTGTTTATACAAGTCTGTTCATGTAAGTTGAATTTGTTTTGCTGTTGGTTGCTAATGTACTTGAATTTCTTTATTAAGAAATTGTTTTTAAAGATAAAAGGTATAGTGTACCAACTTGGGTTCCACGTCGAAACCTTCAACAAATTATTGGATTCCGAAAGCTGAGCAGACTCCTTTATTGCAGAATACTTGTAACTCAGTAAACAGCAGAGCCATTTATAAAACCTATTTTTGAATACTTGCTTTTGTTTGACAACTTTATTGATATTTTGACTTGGAGATAGTAGGAACTGCAGATGCTGGAGAATCTGAGATAACAAGGTATAGAGCTGGATGAACACAGCAGGCCAAGCAGCATCAGAGGAGTAGGAAAGCTGATGTTTCGGGTCTAGACCCTTCTTCAGAAAAATTTTCATCCAGCTCGACACCTTGTTATCTCGATATTTTGACTTAATGCATTTTCTTCACCATAATTCATTTGGAAGAAGAATAAGCAAGTTATAAATTTTTTTGTGGCTGGTCGGACCAGTCAACACACAGATTAACTTACAATGAGAGGGTTGATTTCTTCCTTATTCCTCTCTCATTTGTTTGAAGATGCTTATGATGGAGGTGATGCAACAAGCTTGTGTTTATTGCTCACCCCTAGTGGCCCTGAAGCACTGGAAGTACGATGTAAATCTGGAGAAGTAAATCACTTAATGACCCTGAGGTGATAATAAATTTTAATAAACTGACTGCTGTTTTATTTTCTACAATTCACACAAATCTCAATAAAATCGTAATAAACATTATCTATTTTCTTTTAATTAAGAATTTGAATTTGATCATTTTTTTTGTGAATAATTTCTCTCAATTTGTGCTCCTGTAACCTTTGTTATGGACCAGACCAAACTCCCTCAAAATATATTAAGAAAATAATCTAGACCCTAACTTTTTCCTATTTTAAAGGCAAGTGTGTGGCATTGCATTCCAGATGCAATTCGATTGGTCAAACTACTAGACTTAAAACAAAACACACTTTATTCATATACTAGAATTAAAATACAGACAAAATAAAAATAAAAGAATTGGCTTAACTAACTCTATCAAAATGCTTAACAAAATAATATATGTATTAACTGTTCCAATATAGTAACATCCCATAAACATACTCTTGGCAAAGGCAATTTCGGTAATATAGATTGACCCCACCTATTCAGGCTACCTTTATTGCCCCAACTTTCAAAATAAAAACCCTAGGCTTCACAAGCTGTTTAATTTATTGCCCCTGAACAGACTGCTCAGTCTCTGACTCAAGTTTTCTTCATTTAAAAAAAAGGACAAAATACACCTCTCAAAGCCAAGGTATCATCATACCTTTGTGAAGTAGACTATGTTTCACCAGTAAATATATAATCAACAAGTATATATTTTTTTTCCCCTTCCCAGAAAGCAAATGTTTTTGTAATAATTAAACTACAGGCTCTGTTTATTCTTGTTATCTTTATCATAAGGCCTCTTTGTAAACTAGACCTTGTGACTTAATGGGGCCTGCAGTATCATGCTGTTTTGTCCTATAGTTCAATCTGAAATAATTTGAAGCATTTCTCTCCAAATTTAAAGAGAAATCATAGCAGTCCAGACCAGGAGCAAAAGGTATATAGTGGGATGACAAGCTGTTGATGTGATTGAGAAAACTAATTGGTGATTCTTTTTGTAGACCGGGAAATGTTGGTTGAGGTTGCTGGTGGTACACAGTAACTCCAATTTGTATGAACATTGCCCCAGGACTGATTGCACCCAATTGTTGCTCCAGCAGTTGCATGGTTTACTAGTACTCGCTGTTTAGAATTGTAGACAAAAGAAAACATAGAATTGGAAGATTGGTTATGCCATTAGAACTATACACCTTTGTTTTAAATTATTCAGCGAATAGTAATGATAATTTTTCAACAACTTGTGCCACTGTTCGAGGAAATCAAACAGTTAGTTCTCAACACCTATTTCATAATTTTACAATCGTACTAATTTATCTGTTTGGCAGAGAACAAATCTGATATCCTGTTCTGACGAAGGGTCGCTGGACCCGAAACATTAACTTTGATTTTTCTTCACGGATGCTGCCCGACTTGCTGAGCTTTTCCAGCAACTTCTGTTTTTGAACTTGTTATCCCTATTCTCTTTCCTCTGTCCCAACCAATGAGTACCTCCTGTCATAGTGTTATGTGTGTCCTCATTTTACTGCAAACCCTATCTACTTCCTCTGGAAGTTTGTATTGACAATATAGTGGATGTACGTACTATATATATCTCTTTTATATAGATATCTTCAAAAAACTGAACCATGTCAGTTACAAATCCATGTTGATGTTGTCTTTGATCAGTTGATAATTTCCACTCATGCATTCACTTTGGCTGTGCTAGTTTTCAATAATTTCCTCACGTTTGAGGTTAACAGGTTTGTCTTTTTTGGTTTCATCCTCCTTAAACAGCAAAATGATCTCCACAGCATCACATCAGACAGTGAGGGTTAGATTGAAATGAAACACCCATCCAGAATGTTGTTTCTCATGTATGATATCAGTTTGACACAATAGCCATGTAACACTTTGCAGAATGCTGTAACTCTGAATGTGTTGGAATCATTGATGAGAGCTCACATCTAGGAGCTTGGCAGTGGTTTCAGTTGGTAATTTGACGAGGCAATACCTAGGCATGCAGATCTGGAGCATTTGGCCTCCTGTTTCACATGCATACGTTAAAAAAAAATGTCCACAGCAATTCAGAATAGAAGTAAAATGCACCGAGTGGAGCTTCTTACTTAGTTTAATGGAACTCCTTGCAGACAGTTGATTCAGAAAGGTGCATTTAACAGATTATGTAGCCTTTTTTTTATATTATGAGACACATTACAAAATAATTTCAGAATCACTGTTAATACTGTTCTCATTTCATGTATCAAATAAATTACATCAGTGCACTTTCTGGAATGGAGAGGGAGTGTTTGAGAATGCAATATTGCATTTTTGAGTCATGTTATTACTCTTTTATGACTAGATGTTGATGCGTAAGAGTGACCTTTGATCATAGGACATGGGTCCAGCACCACAGAGATAAGTCATTTTAAGGAATATCAAGTGCAGAGCTGAAATTTGTACACACTTTGTGCTTTTGTCAATCAAATTAAAGTCCCTAAATGTGACCAGTCTACACGCTGAAGCATGTACATGTTTGTAGCTGAGCAACTTTAATTTGCTGTCTACAAAAGGCTTTTAAAGCATAACATGTTCTCAAGACCTTGCGGTCTGTGGAATATTTCAGCATGAACAAATGATTCTTGTTGATAATCCTGATAGAAGATCTTCTAACCTGTTATTAGTTTGACTCAAAGTAATTGGCAATCACTTTATAATATAAATATGGTGCACTGTTTTTGTTGCTCTCTCATAATTATTTTAAATTTGTCTTATGTAGAGACAACAAGGAGCACCTGTCGCAAAAATTTCTTGTCGATAGTATTTTAATGTGTGCAACCCACTTCATTTTACAGCAGGGCTTGAAAATTGCGTAGTCTCCAGAACGAAATGAGCCTATGAAAAGATAATGGCATGTTTTGTATCATGTAGCTTTTCTCTGTGAAAGATGATCTTGAGGGTCACAGTAACACTTGAGATCATCTAGGTTAAATTAAACTGAATAATTTATTGAAGAGAGACAAAGGTAAAGGGTTGAAAATTTCAATGAAAATATAATCATGAATCTTTTTTTATTTCCTCTTCTAGATTGGGTCCTTGAAAGACTACTACCACTTTTACCACAGTAGGACAATGAAACGATCAACAATCTCTAGTAGAGGAACTCATAGCTTCATTTCATTGGAACCAAAGGTGTGTACAATTCTAGTTTTTTTTTCACTTCCAACAAACAGTAGCAGAGATGGGTTGTTTTATTATTAATTAGTAAAGTCACATGAGGAAATGCTGTATGATTAAGTGTTGAATTGGGAAGAACTGACGCATGCTATCCAGTAACCATTGAAAAGAACAATGTTGAGAGAACAGTTAGACTTGGAGCACATTCAGTAGATAATATAGAATAGTGAGATCACTGAAGGGAGTGACAGATTTCTTGGCTATAATTAATCAAGGTGACATTTGGATGTTGCAACAATGACTCTCAAACCTTTAAGTATTTTATCATCGTCATGTTTGTAAGCAATGTGTGGGGGGAGGGGGAGAGAATTTGAGAGCAGATGATGTTACATCTAATGAAACTCAAAATAAGTACACTGCTAATCCTGAAGTCAATGCTGGAAAATTCACCTAAAGCAGTAATGTTTACTATAATTGTTATGAAACATCATAGTGATGAAATTTACAATCAGCAAACTGCTATGTGGAAGGCATGTTTCATGCTGGTGCTGATCTAATTTCTATCATATAGAATCCTAGAAATTTGTAACTGCTGACATAAGAAAATGATCGTTGGTCTCAATGAAAGAGAACATGGCATTGGAGAGATTTTATAGGGAGAATGATCCTGAAACTATTCTCAAAGTCTGGACCAATTATAAGGATTTGCATGCTTGTGTGACTTTCTCTCGTGAATTAATGCTCCACTGGGCAGTGAAATTAGCATTTAATGCCACAAAGTAACTATGGTATAATTGATGGTTTGGATGTTTGAATCAGATTTCAAATTAGCATTAATATCTTTCAATAGGTCACGAACCAGCCAAAATAATAAAATTCAAAAATAAAATTAATTTCTATTGTAATTTCATTTTGAGCAACAAAATTTGAACTTGAGCCAAAATTTATGTTGTTGCTGTAGGATCTCACTGTATTTCAGTTCTCTGAAACTATAATAGGACTTTGACTTTTGCTAATCAGTAAACTATTTGTACAGTTCATAAGGTTGAGGTGTACTGCATTTGTTGTCCTAGCATTTCATATCCATTATAGATAAGATAGTTTAAGCTAAAAGTGACGTATGTTAAAAATAATTTTTTTAAGTTGTATTTTAAGTTTTAATTCTGCAAAATTGTTGCTACTTATTTTGTAGCATGTGATTAAGATTTGATTTGAATGAAGGTATGGAACAAACTAAAGTAAAAGTGACTTTGGCCAATTTGATACAACAGCTTCTGCACATAAAATCAAAGGACTGTAATGCTGTGGTGCTTGTTAACTTCCTCAGTTTTTCCTTCCACTTGCCAAACTTTAGTATCTCAAACCAAGATTTGGTATTACTAATTATTTTGACTCCTCTTTATTGTTTTCAACTTTGTCGTCCCATTATGTATCTAGGCTCTTCACCTAGCTTCTTTAATATTAAGTGTATTCCTCCCATATGTGACTTCAGTCCATTTTGCAATCTGGTTCCAGTTGGATTTTGTAAATCTTCACTTTGTGCATTTGAGTGGACCTCAACTAAGGCACTTTGAAAAATCTGACAGTTCCAATTGAAGTATAATTTAAAAACAAATTTAGATGCAAGCTAATTTCAGAAAGAACATCTGAATTGCATAGAAGTGAACAGTGACAGCCATATTGGTGTGTTTTCCTTTTTGTTAAATATTTCAGAGAAAACATTCTAGTTGATTAACTGATTTATGTCTGCATATGCTGGGCAATGCCGTCATCTGAAATATTCTTTTATTCTGCATTATGGGAAAGGCCATTAATTTCAGAATTATCTTCTTGATCTGAGTTGCATGCCACAATTTGGTTAGAAGTGCAAACTGATGAGCAGAGCCAGCAACACTCCTTGCCGTGACAAATGTTGTCTCGAATTACTACTTTTGGCTTATGATGTCCCTGTTACATTTTCATCTCGTTTCTACGTCCGTCTTTGAGCCTCCTCAATCCTTGTGTTTAAATGTCAGGATTAAATGTCCTTCCCTGAAGAGTGACTAATATTACCTCTTGTTACTAAATTCCCCCCTTGATCTTGCTGTCATGTTTGATAAAACGAACTACACCATGCTTTTCCAATACTTTTCCACAAACCGACATCTCTAAGACTTGTCTTGCACGAGTCTATTTACATCCATATCGTCAGTTATCCTTTATTAGGCTGTTCATTCAACATTTTCAACTGTTTTGCCTACACAAGCAGAACCCAGACTGCTTGTCCAACATGCGATATTAGTGGGTCTGGGCTTCCTCCAGATCGACAGTGAGAAGACAAAATCATTGTCGTCACCACCTAACGTTAGCTGCTTTAAATTCCTCTTTCCTCCCTTGCCGTTTTGTTGGATTCACTGAATTCTTATTGTATCCAAACTGAGTTTCAGTTCTAATTTCTTCTGTGCTTTAAAAGATGACTTTATTTTTCTTCCACTTCCCATAACCCTCCATTGCGTAAACACTGATAAATTCTTATTTGTTGCTCCAGAATTGATTTTGCTCCAATACTCACCTCTCTTAATCCTCCATTAACGTGTGATTTGTCAAAAATTGCAGCAGATTGCTTTCCGCACTTGGTAAATAAGACTTCAATTAACCTGTATTGGTTCTGCGTTGCTCAAATGACCAGCTTCAAATCCAAATCAGATTTCTAAATCCTTCCAAGCCTTAATCCTACCCTACCTCTGCAACCTAGTTGCATTTTGTTTTCTCGCCATGTTACTCTCTAAAAGATAATGTTTTCTTGTTTCTTAATTTTGTTCTCTAATTTCAATCCTCTTTTCCTTCCCCTTCACTGTAAACTGGTAGTGGATCCTTTTAGAAGTTTGAATTTTTCAGTCACTTTCTCTGTGTCCCTTCTAAAAACCTTACTGAAAATAATCTCTTGCGTAAACTTTACCTTCTAATCTTCCCTTTCCAGGCCTCTACTAATGATCAGGAGATATGAATTCAAATCCCCACGTTGATAGCTGAAGAATTTAAAATTAAGTTAATTAAAATAGAACTGAAAATCTAGTATCTGTAATAGTGATCATGAAACAACTGGATTGTCATGAAATGGTATCTGGTTCACTAATGTGCTTTAGGGAAGTAAATATGTCATTACTCAATCTGGCTAATTAGGCAATGTGATTCAGACACTGAACAAAGTGGGTCACTCTTAACTATCCTGCTGAAATGGGTGCTAAGTCACTTTTGTTTTTCAAATTATGGCAACGTGATAATAAAATCATTCAAATTAAAATTTGGGTACAATTAATTTATATCCATCCAATCAACTCTGCAAATTTCTTCTCTTAAACATGTGGAGACTTGTGAAAGTTGGGACAACTGTGCCCGTGGACTAGTTGAATAACAATGTGGTGTAGTCATTCTCATAGAACCATGCATTACAATCAATGTTTTGGACTTCTCCATCACTGTCCCTGGGTATGTCCTGTTCCAGTGACAGGATAGGGCCACGAAAGATGACCACGTGGTGGTATACAAATCAGCAGTAAGATAGCCTTGTTCTTAATATTGACGTCACACTCAATGAAGTTTCATGGCGCAAAGCAGTCATGGGGGAGAAAAATAACCTCCGCAGATTATCATCTTACACCATCCTTCAACTGACAAATTGGTATTCCTTCATGTTGAACATCACTTGGAAGAAGCATGGAGTTTAATGAGGGTACAGAATGTATTCTGGGTGTGGGCTATCAATGTCCATCACTAGGAGTGGGTTAGTAACACTGGATGTTTCCTGATGGATATAGCTGGTGGACTGGACTGGACTTGATGTAGGTGGTGAGAACACAAACCAGAATGAAGAACCTATTTGACCTCATTCTCACCAATCCAATTGTCCCAGATACATCTGTCCATGTAGTATTGGTATACAATCCTTGTGGCGATGAAGTTCCCTTTTTTTGTACTAAATTATGCTATGTGGCACACAACTGTGTGAAAGATCGGTAGGTTCAGAACAAATATATGGCCAAAACTAGGCATCCAAGAGGCATTGTGGACAATTGCAATAGCAGCAGAATTATATTCCAGCATAGCCTGTAACCTCATTCTCATTATCAATCTCCCCCTCTCGTTATCAGCAAGAGAAGAAATTAATCCCAGTTCAAAAAAAGTGGAGAAGAGCAATACAGGAACTGCAGCAGGCATACATAAATATGGTGAAGTTGCAATTCAAGAATGAACATGGAATATAGAATAGTACAGCACAGGAACAGCCCTTTAGCCCACTGTGTCTGCATCAAACACGATACTATTCTAAACTAATCCCAACTGCCAGCACATGGTTCGCATCCCTCTACTCCCTGCCTGATCGTGTCTGTCTAAATGTCTGTTAAACGTTGTTATCGTATCTGTTTCTATCGCCTCCCCTGACTATGTAATCCAGGCACCTACCATTCTTTGTGTAAAAACAAAACTTGCCTTGTATATCTCCTTTTAAATTTTCTCCCTCTTGCCTTTAAACCTATGCACCCTAATATTTTACATTTTCACCCTAGGGGGAAAAGACTCCGACTATCCATTCTGTCCATGCCTTTCATAATTTCAGCCTTGGACACTGTAATGAGAGAGAATCCAAGTTTGTCCAAGCTCTCCTTATAGCTAATATACTCTAATCCAGGCAACATCCTGGTAGAGGACTTTCACACCCTCTACAAAGCCTCCACACCCTTCCTACAGTGTCGTGACCAGAACTGTACACAATACACCAAATGTGGCCTAACTAAAGTTTAACACAGCTGCAACATGACTTGCCAACTTTTACACTCAATGCCCTGACTGATGAAGGCAAGCTTGCTGTATGCCATCTTTACCTTCTAATCCACTGGTGTTGCCACTTTCAGGGAGCAATGGACTTGCACCCCAAGATCCCTCTGTATATGAATGCTCTTAAGGGTCCTACCATTTACTACATACCTTGCTTTTGTATTTGACTTCCCAAAACGTTTCAGCTTACACTTGGCCAG